TATATATATAAAATCATTTTTATTATTTCCAGTTTATTCAGAAATATCACCACCACTCTTGTATATATTGACATGTAGCCACAGCTTATCCCACCCAATCCTAGATTACCAGATAACAATAATAGTACTCCAGCCATACACAAACACACATCAACTTCATCACTCAATGAAGATGACAGACCTGAAGGTCTATCATTGCCTGTGTTTCAGCCTCCAGCTCATCAGTTGACAGAGGCAACAGCAAATACCTCATGCTGTTCTTTTTCGTTCTAGCTCTATGGTTGCTCACAGCTAGACAGAAGCACAGTTAAATGGGATTGCAACTTCAATTTACCTGGCGCTTTCCACCTCTCTTTTAGTAGATTTGTCAAGAACTTGATACATGGTCACAGAGGTTAAAACACAAATAAAATCAGCAAAATGTAATGCAGTTTTGTAACCCGTTCTCTGCCGCGTGTCATATGTTGGAAACCGCTCTAGCATGCTTGACATATTTCGTCCAATGACTTCACCAGGGGCATCCACTCATTTTATCCAGTGTATCTGTTTCCTCCCCCACCTTATTTTATGATTTTCTATGCTATATAGCTCATTTGTCTTTGGTCTTGTTACTCGAGTATACTTGTGTCAACCACAATACGGATTTTACTTTTCCCCTACTTTATGTCATGCAGCTTCTTTGCCCAGTATCAATACATTTTGTCTACTATCAGCCAATACACAGCATGGCTCTGTTTCAACTCCCTGTCCACCTTGGATTGAACACATTACATTATAGGCAACAAACCTTTTTTTAAAGTTTTGCTTCCTGAAAAACCTTTGGTGATTATGACAGACCCCTTCAAGCTGAACTCAAATAATGACTGTAATACATAGGAATCTTAATATCTAGTGCAAGTTCAAGAAGATTAAAAGTGTTTTGCTGCTATTTTGCACTTGTAGTCACTGCCTGGTGCATCTGGTTGTAGTGTCCAACAATTGTCAGCCAGCATTGATGGGTTCCAGTTGCCGTAAAATTGTTTTTCCATTGTGGCAATGTCATAGCAAAACCGTTCACTGACTGTACCTGTGAATACAGAAAGGGAATCTAGAGTGACATGCTGCACTCCATGGTCTTGTATACTAATACTTTTGTCAACCAGCTGAATGTAATTTGGTGCTCTGTAGTTTCCAAGAAAATTCTCAACTACATCCTTGAATGCCTTCCAGGTGATTTTCTCTGGCTCCACTAACAGATCTTTAAAACACTTGTCCTTGATAACATATCTGATCTGTGGACCAATGAAAATACCTTTCTTAACCTTGGTATCAGTTATCCTAGGAAACATCTGTCTCACATAGCGAAAGCCTTCTGCTGCTTTGTCCATCGCTTTCAGAACATTATTCATCAGTCCGAGTTTTATGTGAAGTAGAGGGAAAGTATCTTTGTTGGGTCAACAAGTGGTTTATGTGCCACATTTGTCTGTCCAGAACCAATTTCTTTCAGAGTTGCCATTCCTTTTAAATGTAAAGCAACTTTTTTGCACACTTGTCTCATTCACAGATGAAACAACAGTACTTGGAATATCCAAGCTGAATTCCAAGCAGCAAGGCCACTACTTCTATCTCCATAGATATTCCAGTTGTACTTGGTGTACTGGATGTGCTTCAACAACAGTTTTATGTTTTTGTATGGTTCCTTCATGTGTGCAGTATAACCAACAGGTATTGAAGGGTGTACTGTACATTGCCGTTGTGTAACAATATAAGCTTGAGGCTTAATATTGATAAATCAATAAAGAGATACCATTCTAGTGGGTCATACTCACAACCCTGTCAGTAAAGAAAATAAGGTTGTCTACCAGTGCAATCAGGCAAAATGGCAGATGTCATTGGATCAGATATAATTATTTAGTTTTATTTATTCTTTTTTATTTGAAGTGCAGTGTTTGCCATGTCTTTGATTTTGCCCATGCAGGGCACAGCAACCTGTAGTTTAATGCTCCCCCCCCTCCCAGATGCACATGATTACTTTACTTCCCACCAGTAGGAAAGAAATGGAGCCCTGTGTATGCTCCATGTTGCTCCACTCTGCTTACACAGTACTTCATGCCACCTGGAGACTCCGCTGAGCCAAACACCTTTCTCCAGCGTAGGCATATTAAATGAGTTACATGCTGCTCCATAGCCAGAAGTACCACGTATATTCTTTGCTCCCAGCACCTGAATGTAACGGCAGGGGGATGAAAGAAAGGTGATTATATGCTGCTGAGGATGGGGGCAGGCACATGCAAAGCACAAGCTGTATTTTAGAAAAACAGGATTAGAACATAATTGCAGCTTAATTAATTAAAAGTTATATTTTTATATGTAAAGCACTGCACAAACTGTTGGCGCTATATAAATCCTGTATAATAATAATAATAATAATATTTCAAAATACAATATTTGTAGTAAGGGTGAAAGGGAAACAAGGTAGCAAGTAACAAAACAGACTTTTAGTCTGTCTACTCTAAACTGATATTTTCTCTTTAAAAAAAAAAAGATATTTTCTCAATGTCTGTAATGGTATATAACACAACCTTGTTCTCTGTGTTGTTCATTATTTTTCATGATGAGAAATAAGTTTGATTTCCAATGAATCTGCTGTATTCATCTTTTGTAGAGTTTACATTAACACTCTTTATTTTATCATTTTAGACTCCTCGACTCTATATTGAAGCTGTCAACAATAGTAACCATGTCCACCTCTACTGTGCTTTTCTGGATTTCAGGTCAGTGTTTATATATGTATTTAGATGCCATTAAAGTAAACCAGTCCTAACAGCAAAATGGAATCTGTCATTGATGGCCACCTTTTAAAAATGCTAGGTGCCTGACTGTTATGCTGACTTTTTGACCTCCATACCTTTTAATTCAAAGGTTCTAGTTCTGCATTAGTTATAGGAAATTCTGTCCAGGTTTGATTTGCCAAGGGTATGAGAGGCAAATCTCAAAGAGATTTATAGGGGTGAATCTGTGCATTCCTAGTAGGCAAACTACTGTAAAAAAAAAAAAGGCACGGGAAGCAGGACACTGCAATAAGGGACAAAAATACCATTTGGAAGGTAGAGAGTCTTTTCATGCAGCTTTAGGGGCAAAATTAAAAATACACAAATTCTTTAAAGTACATGATTGGGGATGCCTGAAAACTATACTTGGTGTTATGGAACAGTACATTTTCGTGGAACAATTAGCCTCGCTTGCATACAGCAACATCTGACCAATCTGATATATTTCACTTTGAAATTTCAGGTAGCTTTTGTAGAGACCCATCCTTTTTCATCAAACCATAATAGGCCTGCTTTGGAAAATGGAAATTGCCCAGCAGTTCGCTTTAGCTGCTTTTGTTCTCATTACTGCAAAAGTGTCCTGTCACTGGCCAATTTCTATCAGGGTTTCATGTAGAATTAAGAGACCTCAGATGACAGCAATGTAAGCAGTGATACCGGTTTCAAATAGCAAAGCATGGCCCAAATATAGTAGAGACAAAGACCATAGGCTGCGGCTTTACTGCAAGAATTAATATACTGCAGATGGTACAGCAGTGTAATTTTGACCAGCAGCAGGACAGTTTCAATCAGGGATAATAGGCCTAATTGGTGTATTCCTAACATTTATTTTATCTATAGGGATGGGATAGTGCATTGAATGTGATGTGGGCTGATTAGGGGCACATTGTTCTTGCAATTATTTTCTTTAAAAAAAAAGCAGTGGCGTGCTGCGAACATAAGGCAGCCAAAAAAACAGAAGGTTGGTAACATATTTATATTCATCGAGGGGATTTTCCTAACAAGCCAGGCTACATGCCTGGACAAAGGTCTGGTATGGATTTTGCAGAGGACCCCATGCATTTTTTGTGTAGGGTCCTCTAAAAAACCCATACCCAACACAAAAATGAATGGCATGAGGTCCTGCCCAAAATCCATACCAGAGCCTTGCCTAGATTATAAGGGTTACTATGAACAACCCCACAGCAACCTGTCTGCTACACAAACACGATGACCTGTGCATGATGGTCTTCTTTTGTCAGATTCAATGTCAAACGTCAATGTTCCAAAAATAGCATAGCAGGCACTGTTGTTTTCTATTTTAATTATGGTAAGATTTCATTATTTTCTATTTCAATTCTAATATATTATGTTAAGTGCAAGTGTAGTTTTGGGGGTTTTGTTCAATCACATTTCAGTTGGTGGTTGGCAGCATTCTTCACTGTCTTATTTAAAAACGGGTCTATTCATTTCTAAGCTGCCGAGGGCAGCCGAGTGAACAACCGACCCCAAGTGAAGTGAGCCGAACACTGTTCGGCTATTCACTTCAGGCTGGTATGGCTGATTTCAGCCGTACATCGGCTGAAATCAGCCGTACATCGGCTTGCTTCACATGGCTTCGGGTCGGCTGAACATGCTCAGCATGTGCGGCCGACCCGAAGTGCAGAAGGAGTTCGACTCAGCCGATCCAACATCTGGATCGGCTGAGCCGAACCTCCGGCAGGCTACTCACTGCTGTTCGGCCTATTCTTATAGATGCCGAACAGCAGTGAATAGCCGAATACCAGCAGTGAGTGAATAGCCGAATACCGCTGACACTGCTGTGTCTTTTTTTTTCTTCTTTATTCTGACACGGAACGATGTCAGAATAGAAAAAAAAACAATTTCCCATTGGAATGCATTGCTACATTCCTATTGGCTATTTCAATGTGCAATAGCCAATAGCATTGTACCCGCCCTCTGCTGATGGACCTGATGGAGAACTGCAGCAGAGGGCGGGTACAATGCTAGTTTACTATTGGCTATTGCAAATTGAAATAGCCAATAGGAATGTAGCAATGCATTCCAATGGGAAAATCTTTTCTTTTTTTTTTTCTATTCTGACATTGCTCCGTGTCAGAATAAAGAGAAAAAGACACAGCAGTGTTTCTCTCCTTGGCGGCCGGGAGCAGGAGACTCCCGGAGCGCCAGCGAGAGTTAGCTGTTTGGAGATCAGTGTCCCTGGTTAGCAGGTAACTAGGGACGCTGATCTCTCTGCAAGTGGCCGGAGCCAGCCGTAAGATCACGCTGGCTCCGCCTAGCTGTCAGAAGCAGGCTGTCGGCCAACCAATGGCCGGCCGCTCGGCCAGTTTCGTTTTTTAGACAAAATGTTTTCTTTAGCTCTTGGCGCTAATGGCTGCCAGCTGGACAATCCACTTGCTGTTGCTCACTCAAAGTTTTCAACAGTTTATCAGAGTTTTTTTACACAGACTTGAGGGGCTGCTCATCCAAGGCTCTGGGGCTTCCACCACGAACATAGAAAACAAAAAGGGAACAGAGCGCCACAACAGGGGTCAGGGAGACAAAGAGCAAGAGGCTATGTCAACCATGACCGCATGGACTATGACATAGGCTAAATATGTTATTTTGTATAATTTCACCTTGACGATTTTGGTATGTATGCATTTAAGAGATTGGAAAGCAATTGTACAATCTTAAAAAACTATGTAATAGATAGTAAGAGAAGAGCTCTTATAAGAGGGTATAAAAATATCAGGGGTACGGGTACTCCTAGAATGAGATCCTAATAGGTTGGACTTGATGGACTAATGTCTTTATTCAGCCTCAAATACTATGTAACTATGTAACTATGTAGCTCTGAAAGCCTTAAGTATGGCCTTGAATCAAAGTGGAAAAAGGTGGGCTAAGTTGGGGTCTTAAAGGCTCCTAAATTGAGCAATGTAAAAGCTTTTGTGCTATATGATATTGCCAGAGATACTTGTAACTTTAGAGGTGACAGGTCAGAGTCAGTTGGCTACCCAAATAAAGAAAAAGATCAGAAATAGGATACCTGGGAGCGACCCAAATTTACAAGAGGTTTAAAAAGTACTTGTAATTTTTGCCAATGCAAAGCAGCGTTTGGTGCTTGAGTCGCCAAGCCCGGACACTCAAATCATTGGTGAGGAGAAGACCTGACATGCAACCTAACATAGGGGTTACAGTCAAGGCTCCAACAAGCAAATAGGGCAGCAGGGAAGTAAGAGCAGAGGCAAAACATACATTCTAAGTTTATTTTTAGGTCAGATTTACTGTAATGTGATACCACATTATGGACACTATAAAGACATGTGAGAATTCTACCATTTTCCATTTTTAAAGATAATTTTGCTATATGTATACCTGAGTCCTTATAGATGATGTTCATTTTTATCCTGTCAGAGAGATAGCTAGATTGTAATTTCTAGTCTTATTGATAAATGCAAAGACATAGAAGAGCATGGTTCAATGAAATGAAAGATATGACCTTTAAGTAGAACTTTTAAAACAGTGATAATACTGTTCTTTCGTGATGACTCATAAGGTAGATCTAATCACTTGTCTTTGATCTGTCTTACAGCTCTGGTTCTGGCATTTGGTCCAGTGAAGGATGCGTTCGAGTTGAAGGAAACTTGAATTACTCCATATGTCGATGTAATCATCTCACCAACTTTGCCATTCTGATGCAAGTTGTGCCAGTTAAGGTAATGAAGAGATAGAATTAGAATTAATCCTCATTTGGATGTTATATTCCAAAAATAAAATTTTGCCAAGTTTTGAGTACTTCATGTATGCTGTATATCTGCTAATTAGCAATGTTGATTTTTCACACATACTGTATATTGGGCAGTAAAGAAAAGTGGTATCGTTGTTTGAACTTTTCCACTACATATAACATGGAGTGGCTGTTTAATCCTATGGGGTTTTTCTGTCTTATTTAATGTTTATCATCAAAAATGAAATATTTAGCAAACCATCATAGCATTCATATGAATTTATTTATTACGCATCCCTGCATCCTGTCATTGGATGATAAGACACGTAGGTGACAGTGCCATAGTGACAGTACCCCCGCCTCATTAAATTCCACAAATAGTGCAGTCATTTTACAGCACTGTAGCAGAACTACCAGAAATACCTTCTGGTAGTTTTGCTACAGTGCTGTAAAATGACTGCACTATTTATGCAGTGTATTTTTACTTTTGCAGAGAAAACAAAAAATCCACTCCAGGTCAATTTAATTGCTTGAATCAATTTAATACATTGCAAGGATTTTGGCAAACTTCACTGTAGAGTTTTGCTTCCTGCTGTTCTGTTGAAACGTACAGATGAATTGCAGTCTCTTCATACTTCCTAAGTGCTAAGTGGGGAGTCTGCCTGTTATAGCCACATGATCAGTTCTAGTGTTCTCATAGGAGAAAAACCTTAGCAGGAAATAACATCGCACTAGGCAGGACAACTAAAGTCTATTCTCACAGTATTTATCATTTCATGCACACATGTTGCTCGCACACAAGTAAGACAGCATACCCATGGCTCATTCACTAACAAATGGGTTTTACAGCAAAATATGTTTCAAAATCTAAGCATATGCCAGCTAAATGGTAGCATACTAGAATTAAAAAAAATGTATTCAATGTTTTTGGGGGCTGTTTACATCATTAAAGATACTTTGTATTTCTTTTCCTGTAGAACCAATACAGCATGAGGTATGAAATAATAGTACTAAAGGAGACTGTAAAAATCACTGAAAGTAAAGAAGCCATAATACATGCTTTGTAGGGGTATCACAGGGTGCATGTGCTTTAAATCCCTTTCAAAAGCAAACAATAGCATGATAAAAATAAATGATTTGTTTATATTACCTTTCAGACTAACAGGCAAAAACTTGACATATTTGCATCAGCTTCCTATAAGTTTTCTTGGAAGATATTTTTTCTTCTTCAGAAATGGTTCCGTTGTGTGGGATAGCACAGTACATGACTCGAGATCTATTTTTGGGATCTGCCAAAACCATAATAGGGCTGTCTCTCTCATCAGTGTAAACTTTTATGAAACGCAGAAGGCCATGGAGGAGAATCAGCCTTGATTTAAGTTTCTTGACGAGAACCATTTTTCTTTTTCTTGCAGTTATCTTGACATATGATCTTTTGTAAAAGCTTTCTTGCCTTTCATTTTCAAGATTTTTCTCAAGCAGGTCTAATGAGAGATGAACTTGTCTTTATGGTTGCTAAAATTTCATGTGGCGGGGCCTCCGCTTCTACCTAACTATTATTTTTCGGAGGAAGGTTACCATCTTAAAATACAATTTCCTGACCCTATTGGGGGGATTGGCAGGTTTCCATGGAAATGTCAGTCATTTGCTTTGGCGTTCCTCTAGTATTCCAAATGTGCTCAAATGACATATGTTAAGTATAATCTCTCGAAGCATGCTCTGAAATCCGGATGACTCCTATCAAACATAACACCTCCACAATTCAATGAAGAAGAGTGACTTTCTACTGATGAGCAGGGTTTTACACAGGCTTACACTGTGATCATCCTGGGTCATGATTTATACATATGATGCATCTGTGATAACCACAATTTTCATGCAAGATCATTCTCTCCTCTAAAGGCCACAGTCACTGACTTCAGTAGTTGCTTCTGATCTCATACATGTCAAACTACAGTTCTGCTTCTGGGGCAGAAAGATCAGCATCTTGTGAATAACAGGAGTAAAAATAGACTTTACCACTACACCATGGGCACTGGCATGTACTAATTCCCCTGTCATGTTGTACTTGCGCACCTTTGTGCAATCTAAATATAAGGTAGAGATGGAGATAAAGATTTTGAGGGAAAAATTGTGGTGCATACAAATAAGTTATAGTAAAGTAAACACGAACATTTATTTTTAGCCATTCCATTAATTACTGCTTGTTTATATTTATGAAACATGTTATTCTTATTGTGTTGCAATGTCCCATTTGATAGGGACTCTCATAAAAGTAGCTTGGAATAAATATACAGGTATTGGATTTGTTATCCAGAATCGTGCCATTAAGAAATGCCCTAAAAGTTAGAAATTGCTTCTCTATTATTCTCTATTAAGTGTTACAGAAAGTTTAATACTCTACAACTAAGTATTTTATCTATAATTAAAGGTCACCTATTATGAGAAAAATATTTAGGCTGCCATTGCTAAAAAACTCTCCTTCTCTCCCTTTGACACAGAGTTCCAACCAGGTCCGCCTGTCAGTTTTTCAGGTGGATCTGATCAGAGGAAGAATGTTATGGGGAGTCGGATGTAAACGAATCTGCGTCCATTTACATCTAATTACCTTCAAGTCCATCTAGGTCTGAAAAAAAATGGAATACAGTTTTGTTTTGGCAGACCTAAATATGATGGTTCCAGTTAGTTTAGTTTTTTTTCCTCCATCGCAAGATGAAGTGGCTAAATGGATACGGATGTCACAAAAATGACATTCATTCCACACTGCTCCGATCAGCAGGGGATCTGTTCACAGATCTCTTGCTGATTAGAGTGGATGCCACCCTTGTTGAAGGGGCCTCACTTGTCTGGTCAATGATTGTAAGTGTTGAGAGTCTTCACGCAATGAATTGTGTTAATATTCACTTTAACTTTCCAATCAGATGAAAATCAGATTCATGCTTCCTTACTGCTTACATGCTTTCCTACTAACTTATCTGTTTGTGATTGAATAATTGTAGTGAATATTTACACAATTTATTTTCAGCCCTGTATGTATATCAGCCCAACTGATGTCAATACTTTCTGAGTCACTGATCTGTATTGAAGTATTAAAGCTGAACACTGGCACAAGGAGTCCAGCAGTACCATTCTACACTGTTGATATGACAGGTGTACTTTATAGGAAACATGTACAAAAAACATTTAATGAAAGGTTGCTCCAGTCATAATGTTAAAACAGCTAGCTCATCTGGGTGCAGAGCAGCCTCGCAGCTTGCTAAGACACATTAGAAAGGTTCACTGGACACTGGCATAATCATACATCAGTATAAGGCTTTATTCAGACAAGACCCACCTGATACATAGGCTAATGGATTCCACAAAAGTAAAAAAAAATGTTTAATATGTATAGAAATCTAAAATCTGAAGCAAGTAGTCAGGCATACATATTTAATATAATTTAAAGGAGAACTTTAAATAAAAAAAAGGTTTGTGTAGTTTATAATGGATGAGCTGCTTAGATCTCTAAATATGCAAGCTTTACTTGCTTATAAACTTTTAAACGTTGTTTTCATTCTTCTTTAATATGTGGATTCCATTAAAATAATACCTGGTGATGCTGCCATTCAGGTTCTTGTTCAGACATTTCCTGTCATAGGGTGACAACTCTGTCCCAGCTGAGCTCCTGCATTGTCACCCTGTCACACATGCCATTGATGCAGACCGCAAGCAGTGGTGTTGACACACATTGTGCAGACGTGTTCTAAGGTTCTCACCATCAGAAATCTGATCCAGAGCAATGATGTACAATTACCCTGGAGCTTGTGTATGTAGACAGGAAGAGCTGGAAGAGAATATCAGTACTAGGATGCAAATAAAAGTGAATATGAAAGGAAAAACTCATGTCTATTGTTTAGGATACACTGTGCTTTAGAAAACTAAGTGGCATGTAGTTAGGATTTAGATCCACTTGAAAAAATTACAGAAGAATAAGGTCTCTTTTTTGAGTAAAGCCTCTGGTCTTGATTTATAATATATAACTTAACTGGTCTCATAGTTAAATTCTAAAATCTCAGGGACCTCAGATGGGTAATGCCCCTTTTATAGATTACACATTACACATTATAATTAGCTCTATTTAGCATAAAACCAAGGATACTGGTTACAGTTATGATAAAATAGAAATCAATGATAACTCTTTATGAACAAATTAAACGAATGTGCAATTTCTTTCTAAAATTACAAACCTAATGCATTTATTTTCAGCTAACTATATTTCATATTTTAATTCTCTTATTTTGCTGTTATCGATTAACTATTAACATTAAGCCTGTGCTGTAATATGCAGCTGATCTTTTATATAGCTATGAAATTAATCTTCAAAGTATGTAACTACATCACAGCAGAATATGTCTAGATGATACATTATTGGTGTATCTCCTCTTGATAAGGCTAAATAAGAAAAAAACATTACACAACTTTAAGTCACTTATAATGATCTCTTCTTGTGTTCTGTTCTTGTATTGATGAGATAATGTAGTAGCATTGCTAATTTAAACCAGTCTTTCCTCCTTGGCAGATTGTGCAGTGTTGGGAAAGCAAGCCAGGATTCTGACTGTCCTTCCCATGGCTGGCAGACTTTAATTTAATCAGAGGGATTATAGAGTTATTACCCTATGTATTCACCTGGATGTTTAATGATGAGTTGTTTGGAGAAGTGTGCTCTGGGCTGTCTCCATCCACGTCGCCATAAAATTCATGGACTCCAGCCAAAGTCAGCAGTAATTTCTCTCTCAAACTGCTGCATGGAACAAAAAAAAAAGCAGAATTTTTTAGATAAGGTGATTTGTATTTTCATTAGTGACAATAAAATATAAAAAACTAGATATGTCTGTACTAGTGTCTTGATACAGATTTAGTTCTTTGAACATTGTTGATTCACACAGCTGGGTATTTTATGGAGTAGCTCTGTCTAGTTAAAACCCAAATATATTCAAAGCTCTATGTAGC